CTTCACTGTTTGATTTACAGGCATGCTTAAATGATTGAGATTATTTTTGTAACCAAATATGAATTGTTCCTATTTTAGTCATAAATAATATTCAAATGTTTAGATAAATCTAATAATATTTTGTATATTTTATATATAGGCCTAATAAGTAAATTTTTTCAAAATAATTGATAAATATTCTAAATAATTTGTCGTTATCACTCTTTCTTTTGGGGTCTGTATATGACAACACATGCAAGAGGATCATGTTTGGTCCTTGGTATTTAAAAATTGGAAAATCCCCTGATCAATTATCTACATGACACTAACCTATCCTGCTATAGTTATCAAAGAACATAAGCCACAGCAACACACATTATTGAATTGAGCTAAGCTCACTGAGTACTTTACTGTATCTTGCACTGGAAAAAGAACTGCAAAAAGATGGCAATTACTTTCATTTAACTTTCCTTGAAACATGAAAAACGTTCCCTTTTCCACAGTCCTGCTGAGAGGCATCTGAAAATAGAGGCAGGATGTTACCATGCAGTGATGACTGATCATGAAAGTGAGTATGACTATTTGAGCGCAGACTCATGAGGAATGATGTGAGCATGTAATTCAAACTTTAATTGCCTACCCAGTGTATCTGTTCCCTCAGGCAACAAGGTGTTGTGTCTTCAGAACAGAGCACCCAGAGCCATTATTTCTCCTCTCTCCTCTCCCACTGTACATTATTAGTGTTGGCATGTTAATATGAGGTCGTTTAATAGCGCCCTTTAACACGCCAATAAGTGGTACTACAAATATGAACGTTCTGCAAATGAATAGTGAAACTGCAGTGTCAGATATCTCTATTTAAAGAGTCTAACTGACATAAATTACTTCTCAGGTATGAAGGGGTTTAGACCAACCATTGAAGTGTTACAGAACATTAAATGAAAGGAGAAGTCAACTAAATTGCCAATCGAAAGCCAAAATTGTCTTTAAATACAACTGCCATTATGATTCTGATGTGTTTTATAGGCTGTACTCAAATGTCTGACAGGTTATTCATTCCAAAAGGTTACAGTTTGAGAATTACTGTCAAACTGGACAGACTGAAGTATACCCCTGCAGTGTACTTGGATTAAACCCCTGTGTGGGGCATGTTTAACAAACAGTGTCTTTCTTTCTTTATGTCTAAATGACTCCATGTTGTGCTGAAGCCCTAAAAGCAAGTCATTAATGTGCTATTGAGCAGAAAAAAACTACAGAAAAGTCTAAATGGAATCTGATTTAGCTCTTGGGAGCTTTTATAATGTGCATGTTGTAAAAGCAACTTAGTGAAATAAGATGGCTTCTCCTGAAATTATATTAGTTAATGCTTCCAGGATATAGTAATTTATTCAAAACTCATTCAGAGGCCTGATTTGTCAAATCTGATTGGTTGATTGGAATGTTGTTCCAGGATCAACAAATATGTTCATCCAATAACATGTTGAAAACACGTTCACCATTTTGAATACATGATGGTATCCATCTTAAAAATGCTGAGTTGATGGATTACAAAGATCAATAGCATACACAAAATCTTAGTGACGTCATGTGACACTAAACATCTGCGATATATTGATCCTCACTGACACCTGAAGTACTGGTCTCTTCTCAGCAAAATCTCTGTGGCATTGGGTATTGAGAAACTTTTAATGTGCAGATATTTTCCCAAAGGTTTCATGGGGGTATTCCAATTTTTCACCTCTGAAACTTCCATAACACTTGCATGGGCTTATCAGAAAAACTCAAACTGTTACCTAGGCAACTGCTGCAATACTTTGAGATAAGTTAACCACCTCATGCAGCGACCTTAGCCATTCAGTGAAACCCAGTTCAACATCACAACCCATCTTGCACTTTAAACAATGTTCCTTGCTTCTCATTGCTAAAATAATTCAAATGAAATGCTTAATGCTATGTTCTAATTAGTTGTGTCAAGTGAGCTCATTATTGTTAGCGGTCTTTCTTGTTTTAATTCAGAGGAAGAACAAATATTGCAGCACGATGCAAGTGCTCCCTCAATTGATTTCAAATGATACTGCATGTCCTTGGGCAACAAATTGGGCTTTGTTTTCTACAGTAGCCTATAATTCATGTACATACATGCACGTACATTACATCAGCAATACCCCAAAAGGTTATTTCAAAGATCTGTGATACACCATTAAAGTATATACATACTTGTTTCCTCCTATACCTGTACAGTATTTCCATTACATTTAATTGGTAGACAAATCATATTATCTATATTTATATTTTAAATTGAGAAAGCCTTTTAAATTTTAATTAAATAAATGAAACAATGCATAGCTTCAGTTTGAATGTAAGAAAATATAATTAGTATGAAACGTCATTTAAATATCAATTTAACTGTTATTTTTACTTGGAAAGCAATTTATTAAGATAAACTTGAAAGTTATAGCTTCACAAAGCCTTATTTAAAAGTTTTGAATAAAGTTTTAAACTTTAGTAGTTAAAGTAGATAGATAGATAGATAGATAGATAGATAGATAGATAGATAGATAGATAGATAGATAGATAGATAGATAGATAGATAGATAGATAGATAGATAGATAGATAGATAGATAGATAGATAGATAGATAGATAGATAGATAGATAGATAGATAGATAGACAGATAGATAGATAGATAGATAGATAGATAGATAGATAGATAGATAGATAGATAGATAGATAGACAGACAGACAGACAGACACAGATAGATAGACAGACAGACAGACAGACAGACAGACAGACACAGATAGATAGATAGATAGATAGATAGATAGATAGATAGATAGATAGATAGATAGATAGATAGATAGACAGACAGACAGACAGACAGACAGACATACAGACACAGATAGATAGACAGACAGACAGACACAGATAGATAGATAGATAGATAGATAGATAGATAGATAGATAGATAGATAGATAGATAGATAGATAGATAGATAGATAGACAGACAGACATACAGACACAGATAGATAGACAGACAGACAGACACAGATAGATAGATAGATAGATAGATAGATAGATAGATAGATAGATAGATAGATAGATAGATAGATAGATAGATAGATAGATAGATAGATAGATAGATAGATAGATAGATAGATAGATAGATAGATAGATAGATAGATAGATAGATAGATAGACAGACACAGATAGATAGACAGACAGACAGACAGACACAGATAGATAGATAGATAGATAGATAGATAGATAGATAGATAGATAGATAGATAGATAGATAGATAGATAGATAGATAGATAGATAGATAGATAGATAGATAGACAGATAGATAGATAGATAGATAGATAGACAGACAGACAGACACAGATAGATAGATAGATAGATAGATAGATAGATAGATAGATAGATAGATAGATAGATAGATAGATAGATAGATAGATAGATAGATAGATAGACAGATAGACAGATAGATAGATAGATAGATACAAAGATAGATAGATAGATAGATAGATAGATAGATAGATAGATAGACAGACAGACAGACACAGATAGATAGACAGACAGACACAGATAGATAGATAGATAGATAGATAGATAGATAGATAGATAGATAGATAGATAGATAGATAGATAGATAGATAGATAGATAGATAGATAGATAGATAGATAGATAGATAGATAGATAGATAGATAGATAGATAGATAGATAGATAGATAGAGCTGTTGTTAAGTAAGGGATCTCAACATGTATGAGAGATGTGCTGAGTTGGCCTGAGCATACCTGGTGAGACCCAAAATGCCTGGCTTCTGACAAGGCAACAATCTTTTGCTAAACAGAAACAGTCTAATTCTATTTAGAATTTGGAGATGAGATGTGCATCAAATGTAATATTATTTCAGTATCCAAGAGAAGAGCTTCCTCCACCATTATGGGGCCCTGGAGTCATGAAGGCGTATCTACACCTGATATAATGAACTATAGTTCTCTCACTGTGGTCTTACACTGCCCTCTGCAGGAAACTGCACTGTACACAACAACCTTTTGCCATTTGAAACATTTTCATGTTCAGACAGAAATGTTATGAATTCCTTTATCAAAGAGCACCTGAGGGCAAAAACATCAAACACCCAGGACATGTTTGATGTTCTTGCCTCTGTTGCTGTTTTCTTATTAAAGTCTCAATATAATTTCATTGACTTTTATAAATCAAATAAATATTTATTGCATTTGTGCATAATGCACAAACTAGATACAATTGCCAACACAAATTATAAATGCATTTCCTGCCTAAATGCAACTACTTTTTGTTTTTTTTAGGGGATACCAGTTCTGACACTTCCTCCTAATACTGTGAGTAGTAGTGTAATTTTATAGCATGTATGGGGGCCAGGTTTAAATACTGATAAATTTCATTAGGCTATATTTTATTTAAATGAATAAATGAACCAAACTATCTATCTATCTATCTTGGTAGATCGCCCTTTTCTCCTTTTTTCACCTTTGTTACCATTGGCTTTTGGCTTGCTTAGTTGGGGACATTTAATATTCAACAATAATATTGGTCTGCCTGCATTGACACCATGAACTGAACTGAGCTGGACGATGATATCACGGTTTTCTCCAGAGCGGTATAAATTAAATGAATAACTTTTTTACAACAAAAATGAAACATCATGAAACTTACTTAAGCTGGAATGTGACGCTATTTTCTTCTGGAAACAAACTTTGTTGCATTATTTTCCTGTTATCTCTGTGTAAAGCTGCTTTGAAACAATCTGTATTGTAAAAAGCGCTATATAAATAAATGTGACTTGTCTGTCTGTCTATCTATCTATCTAGATATCTATCTATCTATCTATCGAAATGTAACAAACTTGTATTCGCATTCTGTATCTTTATATTGCTACGGTAACGAACTGGTCAAAATCTGTAGGAAAGCTAGTGTGAATGTGAATTCAGTTGGATGACACTAGATGCCGCTCTGTGCTTGTAGATTAAGCAACAGACAAGCGAAGAAGTCTTGGGGGTCCCGCTGTTTCAAGCGTTTCTGGGATACTGGCGGACTGACTGTGCTGTAAATGTCATGGCGACCAACAGCGAGCAACTTTCTCGTGGTTTCGTAACTGAAACCTATCAAGAAGTCAACAACACAGGTGAGTATTAGTGGGTGAAATATTTCTCAAAAATATTGTCTGCTTACTTAAAGAATATGACGGAAATCACTGAGCTGTTATACAGACGCGCGTGGTTTGTTTGTTGTAAAGCTTGTTGCGAGTGGGATGCTAAGCTAATACAAGCTAACGAGCCTTTGTCCGCGTGTTCCGCGAAACGCTCAACCAACAGCATTTTTCGACGCGTAACTACTTTCTGCGCACACGTAATGTAATAGTATCCAACCAAACAGATTAATTATAAAGTACCTGTAAATGAGCAGCCTACGCAGTTTGCAGAACACGCATGTTGGGTTAGCCTTTGTAGGATGCGCGTGCCGAGTTAGCCGCGCGGGTGCCGAGTCTCCATTCTCTCTTCTGAATGAAACGACGCGAAAACTATAGGCGTATACATTTAACAGTAAGCATGTTTATCTTGTATCGATATTACAACGTACTTAAAACTCTGTCTTTTAATCATGAGGTGAATAATATCAAAACAACCAAGCGTCATGTCTCGTGCACCGTACTAGTCGCGTGCTTATCTGCATCTAACACTCTTTTAATGTAGTAAAATGTACTATTTGTATAATTACTGAGTAACTGTTTGTAAAAACACCACCGACTGGGTATCTATATTATGGGAATACCAAACTATATTATACTGGGAATTCTCTATTCTAAATTGCTGCTGGTTACTACTGTCTGTTGTATGTTTACATCCCGTTAACAAAAACACACACATATATATATATATATATTTGAATTTCTCATTGTTTCCAAGATTGTTGTCTTAATTGGAATATTTCGCTATTGCAATGTCTTAAGATCCATATATATAACGTTATATACTACCGTACTTAAATACTGTATACCGCTACTAATGCCTTTATTGTCGCTATTCTAGAATAGTAAGAATAGGCTATTGTATGTCCTGCATCGATTCGGTTTTCCACGTATTAGAGCCTATTTATATATATAATATATTTAAACGTTCATAAAACTGCCATCTCTTCATGAGGTGAATAATATCAAAGCAATCTATATAAATATAATCAATCTATATAAATGCCTAATTCAGCACCTCAATCTCTTCACTAAGCTAGTAATTCTCAAACCAAGGGGACCAGATTGTTTATACCCGTTGCATAATAGGCCATTCGAGGATGACACAAGTTTTTAAATGCTAGGAGAAGATCCACCAACATGTTCTTTCTGTCAAAGCTCTTTATTATTGGAGCATGTTTTATTAGATTGTTCTGGTTTTAATCTTGTGAGAAACCTTTTTCCAAGTCTTTTGAAGAAAATTTTAACAAAGTTAAACCAAATATAGTTCCTCCCGGTTACACAGACGAGGCTTAAGTCTGGACCCAAACTAAAATGCATGTTTGAGCTGTTGTAACTGAAAGCAACTTAAAATATGTCAGTGCCATTGTTTTGTCTCAAGATGCGCAGCACACCAGTAATGTTTTTTTTTTCTTCTAAGGCATGATTATAAATGTCCTAAATTGAACTAATGCCTAATCCTGGTTTATCTAAGCCCTGTCTGTGAAACCAGCTGACCTTAAAGTTTTTAGCAAAAATAAATTGTATAAACCTAATAGTTTTACCATAAATGTCTAACCATGAAAATAGCCACAAAACCTAGCATGGCGTTAAAAAACAAACACTAAGCGTAGTCGGCATGCTTAACTCTAGCACTCACTTTAATGTAGTAAAATGCTATATTTGTATTTGCAAATCTAAAATTAAGGATAAGGCACTTTACACATTTACAATAGATCCATTTAATTTATTGTGATTTTTACAGTAGTATATTGGGGCCAAACTATGGTTACGATGGTAAGATTTTGTTATGGGTCATAATAGTCCACTTAAATTTGCCACAGAAGCCATAGTTTGTAATACAATTAAAATTGGATACTTTCATGGGGAATATACTTCTAGCCACAAGTCAAACAGATATATAAAAAACCTTTTATTCCACTTGTGATTTTACAGTAACATAACTATAGTATTTGTTAGTTTGGGTGAAACTGTGATTAAATAAAATGGTGGTACTGTGGTAAATAAATTTGTGTAATGCTTGGAGGTAATTTGTTTGAAAGACAATGCTAGTGATAAGTCGACCTTCAGTTGAGATGCATTTAATTCACTATTATCATAGTTACTATCCTAGTCACATCCATTATGCTGTTTCAGTACCCTCCTGCAACATCATAAATTATATAAAAAATTAGGCCTAATTCACTGCATGGTTCAAAAGCCGTCTTTTTAAAATTGTGATTCAAAAAGTAATTTGCCAGGCTGATGTTATTATGCAACAGCCCTGTTTATTGAGTGCAAAGAAGCTCTATGTAGTCAGCCTAGTGGGTCAGATATTATGTAAGAAGCCCAAAACAACATACTTTCAGTCTTTATATTAGTCACATCTGTTTTTTTTTAAGGTTTTTGGCCCAGCCATTCAAATTTTTACTTGTACTTCCAATATTTTCTCTCGATGCATTAAAAAAAATCAGTATATTTATGACGCTATAACTTTATAAACACTTAAAGGAGAACTCCGGCGCAAAATGAACCTTTGGTCTAATTACACATTGTTACCTAGTCAACCGTTATCTGAGATTTGTTTTCATGATTATCGAATGTAAATAGTTTTATCTCTAAAAACAGTTTAGCCTATAAAGCTAGTATAACGCTAGTATATTGGGCATAGATCAATGACAAATAAAAATCGCTTGTTAATACCACTAACAAGGCTCAAAATAGCCCCACACTAACACGGTAGCATAAAGAGGGTCCCTACCTTCAAACCGAAGCATTGAGAACTTTGTCAGTGTCCAGACAGTTTAATAAGAAGATATTTAATACATACAGTCAACTTCGCGTATACAGGCAGGAGCCATCTTTGAAAAACAGTCTTTACCAGTCGAACCACGAACGCCATTCATACAGTTCAGAAGTTCACTGAACTTCATACAGTTCAGCTCACTTAGCACGTCGTTCGTGGTTTGATTAGTCGAGACTGTTTTCCAAAGATGGCTCCTGTCTGTATACACGAAGTGGACTGTCTTTATCTTTATCTTCTTATTAAACGGTCTGTACACTTACAAAGTTCTCAATGCTTCGTTTTGCATGTAGGGACCCTCATTATGTTACTGTGTTCGTGTGGGGCTATTTTGAGCCTTGTTAGTGGTATAAACTAGCGATTTCTTTTTACTTATTATATGCCCCCATTACTAGCGTTATACGCTAAACAGTTTTTAGAGATAAAACTCTTTACATTCGATTATCATGAAAACAAATCTCAGAGAACGGTTGACTAGGTACCAATGTTTTATTAGACCAAAGGTTCATTTTGCGCCGGAGTTCTCCTTTAATAAAGCAATAGTTAATGACAATGCATGTTTATAGCTTACAGGTAGACTGAACAGTAAGCTAGTAGTAAGGTTAAAGAGACAGTTCACCCAAAAATGAACAATTTTAGAACAATTTGGAACAATTTAAGAATGAACTACCCCTTAAAGTTTGGTTATATATTTGTTTTTCCTTTCAGAGTGAAAACTGAGGGTCAACACGTTTTGTCCTGATTTACGGAGAAAAGACAACAGAAATTGTTACCAAAATTAAGATTGGGAATCAGTTAAACCAGTTTTTGAAATGGAGAGTGCAGTGAACACTGGTCCTGGTAAGTTTCGTTTTAGCCCTTTATAGAGTCACAGTGTTAAACGTGAAAAGTTAATCATGGCGAAATGATTGTTAGTAAAAGATTGTGAGAGCTTTCCATGTCTTCATATATTCAAACATTTTCAGTAGTACCATATGTGATTTATCTGACGAAGAGAGATGGTAAAGTCTGAATTGTCATATACCTTTTTAATATAACTTTCTTAAAACTGTTAGAATAAACTTATTTCATACTGTAGTTATGTTCAAATAAATATGTTTGTAAACATTGTGTCTTACCCCACAGATGATGAGCCATCTGAGACTGCTGTTCCATATGAAGCCATTAATGTTAAGGATGGGAGTGAGACCCCCAAAAAGAAAAACAAGAAACATAAGAAACACAAAAGTAAAAAGAAACGTAAGAAGCGTAAGGGTGAAAAAGACAGTAGCTCTGAATCTGGAGTAGAGTCAGATGGTGATTCCCGAACAAGAACGAGGTGAGATTTTATTTGGTTGCTTGGCAACATTGTGGGTTTTTTTTTCCTTGATACTTTGTTTCTTTTATCATCATCATCATTTTTCTTTTATATTAAATTGAATATTTTCTTTTGTTACAGTGTTAAAAAAGATGGCTTATCTAACCCTGAGACTGATGCTACAAAAAACTGTACAGAAGGTATATGCATATGTTCTCGTCAGTACAATGAGTAACAGACAAGCTGGCAAATTATTACATATGTATGCTCAAATTTAAACCAATTTACTGTGAATTCAATGAGACTTTTAATCTGAAAAGTAAAATTACAATTATATGTCCTTACAGACCTCAGTGATGTGGAAGCTGATGCCAAGGTTAAAAAGCAAAAACATCGTGTTGGGAAAAAGAAGAAAAAAAGAAGACGGAGAGAAGAGGAAAAGCAAGAGAAAAAGTCCTCCTCTCGCTCAAGATCGGGGAGTAGCTCGGCGTCAGGGTCAGAATCGGAATTGGACTCCAAACAATCACAAAAAATGCAGGCGGAGTCTTTAAAATTGGACAAGAAGTCACCTATTACTGCAGCTAAAGTTCCAAGTGACAAATTTAAAGATGGCACACCCCAACTGGAAGATAAAAAGAGAGATATGACTTCTGATCACAGTGAAGAAGAAAGTTTCAAACTAGGAGGGATAAAAAAGATGTCTCCTGAGCCTGCAAATGCACTAATTCCAGAGAGGGACATAACAGTGGAAGCTGTTGGTGAACATGAAAGTTTTGGTAAAGCTCAAGAACTTCCTGATATAATACCTAAGCAAGAGAATGTGCACAAAGAGCAAGCTGTGCAGAAGGACATCTTAAAGGAAGCAAATGTGAATCAGAAAGAAAAGAAAAAAAAGTCTCTCTCCAGGTCAAGGTCACGATCGCTTTCAGACACTAAAGGGAAGAAATCCAAACATAGTCGCTCTAGAACCCCAAAGAAGTCAACTGGTAAATCAGGACGCCATAATGACAGATCATCTTCAAGGGACAGGTCTCTGTCTGCCTCTGGTGGGAAGGATCGAACAAAACGAAGAAGCTCAAGGTCTCCATCAGGACGGTCCCCATCTAAAGTGACAAAGAAAGCTGGACGCAGGTCAAGGTCGCTCTCTGGAAGAAGAGGGTATCGCTCTGACTCAAGGTCTCGCACAAAGACCAGAAGATCTAGGACCAGGTCCCCACGGCGGGGTCATCGCTCAAGATCTAGGTCAATTGGAAGAACAAGACATTCACGCTCAAGATCAAAACAATCTGTTTCTCGGCGGAAGAATCGGCGCTCAAGATCACGGTCCAGATCTCTACGGAGAGGAAGACACTCAAGATCTCGCTCTCGAAAGAGGACACCTGTTTCTCGGAGGCGGTCCAGGTCTAGATCTGTCAGAAAAGCAAGGCGAGCACGCTCAAGATCCCTTGTGATCCTTAAACGATCTAGATCCCAATTGAGAAGAAACAGAAGATCTAGATCAAGATCCATTCGTAAAAGATCAGGTTCAAGAAGTCCAAAACGTCGAACTAAGTCTCGGTCCCCTCAACGCTCCAGGCCCTCTGTGTCACGTTCTCCTGCAGTCCCTCAAAGGAGGTCAAAATCTAGGAGCCCTCATAGCACAAAGTCAGAATCAGTATCTCCTCAGCGACGTAAAAGATCAAAGTCACGGTCATCCTCACATAATTCAAAGTCTGAATCCCCAAAATTAAGAATGGATAAAAAGCAAAAAGGTAAACGGTCAAGGTCAGTTTCACAGCGAAACACATCAAGATCTAGATCCATTTCCAGGGAGCGACAAACATCAGATAGAAGTATGTCCCCTACTAAGAGTGCACACTCTAAATCTCCCACTAAAGAAGATGAGTCCTTAAAGGATCAGAGTTTAAAAGAAGCCTCAGAAACTAGACTGCAAGTTGTGGATGCTGTGGAGGAAAATTTAGAAGTAAAAGGGACAGCAGGTGGATGGAAACCAGTGATAACTGAATGTACATCTGTGCAAAAGCCATCAAATGAAGACGTAACATCATCAGAATGTGACACACAATGTAAAATAATAGAGGAGCCCGAAAATCCCTCTGAATGTGAAGAAAGACCAAACCGATCTAGATCATTGTCCTCAGAGCCGTTTCCTCAACACGGCACTGCAGGATCAGATGAAGATGATCAATCAGAGAGCTCACGATCACCTTCACCAAATACACTGAAAGAATCTAAGTCCTTCAACAGAACGTCACCTGTTCAAAGAAAGCGTTCCAGATCAGCTTCTTCCACCAAGAAGAGGCGGTCCAAGTCCAAATCTGTCAGCAGCAAGAGGAGGTCAAGGTCTCCTGCAAGAAAACACAAGTCCAGGTCTCCCTCACATAGTCGTAAAAAAAGGACAAAGTCTCGGTCACCTGTTCGGAAAAGGAGATCACGATCAAGATCAGCCAATCGAAGGGCAAAATCAAGGTCTAAATCTCACACAAGGACAAAGCGCTCGAAATCAAAATCCCCCAAGCGGAAACGGTCAAAATCTAGATCACCAGCTCGAAAAAGGAGGTCCAAGTCACGTTCCCCTGCTAGAAAGAGAAGATCTCGTTCACGGTCATGGGCCCGTCAGTCACGATCCAGAAGGTCACGATCTATGTCACGCCGGAGGAGACCAGCATTTAGAGGGCGATCTTTTGACAGACGAGATCGATGGAAACGTGAACCAAGCCATTCCCCAATTTTGATTCTCCGTAAGAGGAGGTCCAACTCAAGATCTCGACGCAGTTCTAGCAAGACGCCACCGCGTCTCACTGACCTAGGTAAATATGCTTTTTGCTTGGCTCCCCCTTCTTGTTAGCATGAATAAAATATATTAACTTCAAATTAATAGCAAGAAATGTCTGTCTACATCACAACAATTTTAATTACCTCTCCCTTCAGATAAAGATCAACTGTTGGAGATTGCGAAGGCTAATGCCGCTGCAATGTGTGCTAAAGCTGGAATGCCCATACCTGAAAGTCTCAAGCCGAAAGCAATTCTACAGTTACCCCTGCCAACCCCAGCTCCAACCCCCTTGTCTTTGCCTCTGCCACTGCCCATGCCCAATTTACCTATGAATCTGCCCATGGGTATACCAGGTATGCCTGCAATGCCAAACATGACGATGAACGCTGCCGTGGCAAGTATGACTGCGGCAACCATGACCGCTGCTCTGTCAAACATGGGTGCCCTGACCTCTATGCCCCCGATGCCTCCCCTTCCTACCATTACCAACAAGCCCCCTCCAGCACCCACACCTAATCTGGCAAGTATTGAGGAGGTGAAGAGGAAAGTGGCTCAACAAGCAAACAGCATTAGCATCAAGGAGTTCACAGAGGTGAGATTTGTTTTTGTTGCTCAGTGAATCAGATTATGTATGCATGTATATTGGGGTCAGTAAGATTTTTTTTATTATTTTTTTTATTAAATGAATACTTTTATTCAGCATGAGTCCATTTAATTACTGTGACCGGGGAGGGCATGGAGGAGTTCGGTTCACTTAGTTTTGTTGTGGCCACGACATTAAGAGAAGACTGCCTTTTAAATTCGTTCACTGATCTTTCTTTTTTTATATACATACCGCTATATATTTTTATTATATAGGTCCCTATAGCCTATTAATTACTAGCTGAAATAAAATGAAATATATAGCCTAATATGTTAAATTCCAGTTAAGTGAACTTCCCGTTCCCAGAAGTGCGTCTACAGAAATGTTCATATAGAATCAAATCTTCATTGGCATGATTGACCGCATTTACAATATTTACAAAACATTGGCTATATGGTACTGAAAGTAGGACTATTGGATAACACAGCAAATTAATTGGGTAAAGAGATGAGATCAAGCGTTAAAATTAATAGAAATGAAAATAAAATAAGTCTACATTTTAGTCAATAGATTTAAAAGACTTTTGGATTTGTTTTTTTTTTTTTGTAGCTTAAATATTCTTTTAACATAGCCTATTAATAATAACAAATTATTCGAACTTCATTCGAATGCTGTCACGGGCACAAGGTAGCTTATCTATACATTTGTAAATTAAAATGCTAATTTATCATCACATACTGGTAGATATGGTAGCTTTTTGGCATGATCGGGCATTTACAAACTTAACTTTAAGTAACATACTATACAGAACATTAACTGGGTAAAGAGATGCATGAAATGAAGGGGAAAATAAAGCAAATACATAAGAATTAATAAAATGTATAACCAATAATAAAATAATAATTTACAAATATGAAATAAAAAAGAAACTCAGAAAATCAGTGAATTGATTTAAAAATCTGTGGGGTGGGATAGATAATGTTTTCTTAAAATGTAGGCATTAGGGGTGTAACGGTTCACAAAATTCACGGTTCGATACGATACACTTGTGTCACGGTTCGGTACGTTTTCGATACAGCAAAAAGAAAGAAATGCCAGAGAAATGTCCTTGATTTAATTTTTTTAATTATATTTTTATTAAAACTAACATCATAAAGTATGATTTTTTTTTTTTACTTTGAGCAATGATGGAGCTATACTTGACTTTTCTTAGGAGCATAAAACAAAACAGCTCCTTGGACAAAATGAAATGTAATATTGTAGTAGTTATAAACAAAGGTTTATTTTAGTTCAGATTAACATTTGAGGGCAGCAATTGTATTCATAATGTCAAAATAAAACTGATGTAATGTTACTTGAAAGCATTATAGCCTACTATTCCTGCCAAACTTCCATGGTTACAGTTAGTAGTGTTACTACAGTAAATCCATGGTGAATATTGCTGATATGTGGACACTGGATAGTTCATTCATGGCACAATGTTACTTCTTGGTTTCCACGTCAGCGCTGTTTGATCCGTTAATAACGGAGAAATGTGAATGTTTCTCACTAGATCTCGCAGCGATGTTATTACTTCAGTGGTGAATTCAATTTTTTTCTTTACTGGATTTCGGTGTGTAGTAACAGTGCTGATGATTAAGATTGGCTCGCGCTGCATTGGTCCAAACTGATAAACGGTCCTTCAACCACACAATAACGAGTAGCTCAGTTTCGTTCCGATTACATTACATTTGCCATTTGATGTTGGGCAATGTTGTGGTCACGCCAGCGTCTCTTACATTGAGCGCACTTGCCACCCGCCTACATTTGAAATAACAAAATGTTGGTCGGCAGGAAAAATGGTCCAACGAAAAATGGTTCATGTTCGGTTTAAAAATGCGTACCGAAAACCGAACTGAAAGCCTTGTACCGAACGGTTCAATACGTGTATCGTTACACCCCTAGTAGGCATATATATATATATATATATATATATTACTGTGTTCTATGTTATATGTTCTTACATATTCTTTTAACATTTATAACAATCTTCATTCGAATGCTGTCTATAGACAATATAGTGTGCAATATAATAATGTCCACACTTTTGTGTTATTCTTTTTTTTTTTGTATGTATTTATTAATAATATTTATTAATAATATCCATTTCTGATAATCCCAGGTTGCTATGGTCACTCAGGTTTGTTTACACAAACTTGTGGCCATGAGAAATAGATATCATTCGCTCATCATAGGATCTCGAGGCCACGAGATTCAGTTCATGTGGCCATGACATATGTTGTTACCTTAACAAAATTATATTGTGGCCACGACATCACGTTTCCACAAATTAATATCTCATGGCCACAACAAAACTAAGTGAACTGAACATGTCCCCTCCCAGTCAGTGTATTTAATTGTGCAAAACCAGGTGTAAAAGCGTTATTTATTTTTTTTTTTTTGATGCACAGCGTTAAAAACTGGCCGACCAATGAGATTAGCACTTTTATTCACATGACTGGAGCTGCTGAAATTATAGTACTTGGCATAGACATAATAAATATTATAATAAATATATCGCCAGTGAAAATCGCTTGGGTATGAACACAAAGACGCGCCGAAAAACGTCTCTAAAAACGCTGGCGATAAGCGCGCACGAGAATTGTCCCGGTGTGCACGAGCCTTAAGTCTTCTGTTAAAACATTTTTAAAAAATCGTACTGACCCCAGAATTTTGAATGTTATTGTATTATTAGTGCTAACAAATCGATTAATCAACTCATTTGTGTGTATATTAGGGATGGGCATGATTAATCGATAATTGATCATTAAGAATTTCGTCGATCACGTTAATTTGTTATCGATTAAACTAATGCAGGTTGCGTTGCGTAGCTAGTGTGAGTCTTGAAGCAATGAAATGAATTTCACTGTGTGGCAGTAATTAAACATTTTACCACCCGGGGGCAATATTTGACGCCATACTCAGTTACTGTACCTGCGAGTTTCCGTTTTGATTTCAAAACAAGAATCATGAAGAGAGCGGGTGTTTTCGGCGGCTGGACTGACGGTCACCAGGTTGTGGTCGCGTCTGACCCCAGATCATGTCAACATGCTTATCTTTCTCAACAAAATCAGTAGACTGGTGCAGAAGTTGTATGTAAGTTAATAGTTATTTTTTATGAGGCTTTGTTAAGTAGCATAATTTGTTAAGTAGCCTAATTAATTGTCAGTGTGCACACTAAAGTCCCACTCCGATCATATTTTGAGCTATTTTTAAACATTCCCAGTGGTCTTTAAATTATGATTATGCCATTTTTAGCCAAAATCACAAAACCTGTGCCGTTTTCTGGGACTTCGCTTCAGCAGAGCGGCAGTAGCTCATTAGCAATTCGCCTCTGCGTTGTGGGCGGAGCCGTTGGCACGGAGACGACCCTCCCCCTGCCCGTTGCTGAGAGCTCTGTCTCTCCCGCTAGCTTACACCCCCAATACCGGTGGGGCAACAGTATTATATACACGTTAATTATTATTATCCGAAGTTAATCAAAGTTATCACCGATCATTATTTCACTCCAAGACGTCGCGTGTGGAGACGCCCAGTGGAGTTACTACGTCACAACTCCAGTCTATTTTAGCCGGCATTTTAGCGTCTGCTACTGATTCACAGCTATTTGAATGTAGAAATACTCAGAAATACAACTTTGAGCTTATTTTTCTCAAGATATGTCCTCTAACAACAGAAAAATGCCACAAGAACATGTTAACACCTAGAAAAACATTATTTTCATCGGAGTGGGTCTTAAGGAAGGCACGCGCCGAAACGCGTCTGTGCAAATAAAATAAAAGAACATATGCATAGTGCGGCCTCTCTCCTATTTTTCGTATTTTAATCATCCAGATCAGCACTCTTAAAGTTTATAAGTATATGCATTGACTGAAGCCTGCTCCTATTCTCACTCAAGTTATTGTTTAACATGATTCTTTTTTATTATTATTTTGGAACAAACGGGTCTCTGTTTAAGAACGCCGGCTCGCAGCTGCAGGTTCCGCTGCTTTAGAGCACCGCAGCGCATATATCTTCAAGTTTAGCCTAACTGAACGTTCAGTTTAACTGCCACATCTTCTTGTAATAAAGATCTCATCGAGGAAAAACACGCTGTATTTTCATTGCATTTTTAATTTATAAAAAGTTAAATAAATAATGAATTTTAATAAAAAAATCTTAATGATTAATCGATAGTCGATCGTTAATTCTCCCGACGATCGACTAAGAAAATGTAATCGAATGCCCATCCCTAGTGTATGTATATATATATATATATATATATATATATATATATATATACATCAATTTGACAGCACTATATTATATATAACCAAGTACTCATGTTTTGCAATTCATCTTTTTTAGAAATGTAAACAGATTGCAGAGAGCAAGGAGGAGATGCGTATTGCACGACCACATGTTTCAGATGATGAAGATGATGAGACACGGGTAAATGTTCTGTCATTTTGAAGTGATTTAAACATTTTCTATCTTGGTTGCTTGTATTTAATTCTTGTTTGTTTTATTTTAATTATTTTCCAGTAACCCGCTGTCCTTCTACTTCATCTTGTATACAATCCTGATGATAGACACCTGTGGCCCATATTTAGGATGAAGGATGACCTCTGCCATAGGCTTGTTTCTGTCATGTAAATGAAACTTTTGTTTATTCGCAGGAGCATTTGGACACTTGAAGCTACATTCATTTCAGTAGTTTATTTCGACCGTTATCTTTAAAATGTCAGTTGTTAGAACAACTGCAAGCTACAGGAACCTTTTTTTACCATAGACTACCAGATTAGGCCATTCAATGTCTACCTGCCCAGACTGACGGTGAAACATTTCGCTTTCAGACTTTTTACCTTCACTTCATATGGTGCCTCTTGATACCATTAAGAAGGACCTCTGGTAGATTAAACTCAGATGTATAGGTGTACCAGGGAGGCAGGCAGGCAGGGAGGGGGAGGAGAAAAAAAAACCCTGATTTTGGGGTGCAGCTTAGATCACAGGCCAGGTCTGTTCAGGTCTGTTGGTCCACGCTTAACATGTTGAGACGTGATCATTTTATCTGTATTTTTTCCCTGTGTTTTAAAATTCATTGTGTTAATCACTTGTTTAAATACATTAATGGTAAAGATCATTTGTTTTTGTTCCTTAACACTTTTGTGAACTTTTAAAGCAAATTAAATGTTGAGGTTCAGAGTTGTGGCTATACTTGAGTGCTATATTAATGGATGATATTTGCATTGTAAGGGGTTCTGACCACAAACTTACTTAGTTTCATCGGTTAAACCTTGCCGTGCTGATTTTTGGTGACCTGATTGTGGTCTGGCTTTATCTAAAAGAATTATCACAGAGAATGACACTCATTGATGAGATTGAGTTTTTTTTTCTCGTTTTTATTCTATATCACACAGTGCATCCTTGTAAACAACAGTTCATGATGCAGTTGTGTGGTATACAATGCTGTTTTATCTTTGTGATTGAAATATTTGACCCAGCAGAGCTGCAGGGTGGGATGCTGAATTTTCAGTAGTGAGAACGTCACCCATCACCATTCTAGATGGGGGTGACGAAAATGCATATGATTTAAATAAGATTATTGTTTAGACACATGTACTTTAAGATGTACTGTATACTGTGTAGGTGTGTTTTGTCAGGGTTTTTTTTTTTTTTTTTTTAGCTATAGTGGAGATCACTTTCCCAATTTATCTAAGAAGAAATGTGATAATGGCACTGCTCCTACTAATACACACAGGAAATGTTTAACTCTTAAGGTAGACGCATAAAGGTTAACATTGTTCAACATAAAGGGATGAGCCACACTATGTTAGCTTTAGATTTGGCACTGTATTGTTGTCCACAGAAACACAAACTTCTGTCCAGAGCTTCTTCCACCTTGGATGGATGATATAGTGATTATGAATTAAGTTTAAAATTAATTAATATTAGCTAACAGATTTCAAACTGGAAATATGGAAAAATTGTTTCATTTTGCCATTATTGTTTACTCAAAGGGATTATTAACCCCCAAAAAATTTGATCTGTCATTCACTCACCCTCATGTCTTTAAAAACATGACTTCTGCAAAATATTTTGAAGATTTGGAATGACGTGAGGGTGAGTAAATGAGGACAGAATTTTTGAACTATCCCATTTTTGAACTATTAAATTTGAAAACTCTTATGAAATGAGTATGGCCATGTTGAAAGCTCCTTGAGGTTGGTCTGGAAAAGTTCTGCATCTAAGGTACAAGCCCACATTCCTTGCAACATCCTCAGTTTTGACAACTTTTTTTTATATATATATGTTTTTCATCACATTGTGAAACATATTGGCACACTTTGTATATAATGCAACATCAAATATTAAAGGAAACAATCTAATTGACTTTGAAAATGTGTTAATTTTATTCTCATTTCATATGTGACCCTTTGTAATAATAATAAAGTAAGAATTGTCTTTATGGCAGAAATCGTAAGAATAGTGTTCAGTTTTATCTAGAATTTTTTTCAGTGACTTGGTGCATGATATACTTTTTTACAATGTAAAAATATCATTACTAAACTAATCAGTATTAAAGTAATCATTTAGATTAGTAATGTCGAAGGCAAGTTGAGGCCTTTAACCCCTCATTTTGGGAAAATAGTCACTTGTTAAATCTTTGGGAAAATAATTTGCATGGCTATATATATATATCTTGGCATTTGGTTTAATCTGGGTTTGTTTTGACATCTGCAGTGTCAAAAAAAAGGCCTGGTTTAGATTAAGCCAGGATTAGTTCAATTAGGGCATTTAAGTAGCTTTTATAAATGTGCCTTAGAAAAAAACATTGGTGTGTATTGTGACAAAACAATGGCACTGACATTTTAAAATATGTCTGCAAGTTGCTTTCAGTTAAAACGGCTCAAACATACATTTTAGGGACTTGGCTTAAGCCTTGTCTGTGAAACCATAGAGTATAATTTAAATGCACATGTGTAAAGTTTACAAACCTGTTAGTTAGAACATTTTGTGTCATTTTGTGTAAAAACAAAAAGAATTTGCCACATGGTACATACAAAATGTGAATGAAGTAGAAAATGTAAAACGTCCATGTGGCATATTGCATCAACAGAACTCTTTATATATAAAACAAGGCATTACAAATTTATTTATAGAGCCAATGCTTTCATATATTGTGTATTTTGGCCAGAAAATGTAATTTGGATTTAATTAAATACTATCAGATAATGATATCAACATGACACGTCATTTAACAGTTTGTTCTCTTTATGATGTCAAAGAGTAGCAGTGATATACGGCTCTGCCAGAGATGAACAAATTCGAGGACAGCATATATTCGGCTACTTCTATATGACTGATAATCTCTTTTTGTGCACATTAAATGTAGAGTCTGACTTTAATGGCAAATGTTTGCAAGTCGTTTATTTTGATATTTTGCAATCTGCAGAAATACATTAATGGGCAAACAATAAGTAAATGTACCGCTCAGTGCGTAAACCAAATGCAACATATTTCTTAACATTTTCAGGGATGTCTTATACCGCCCCCTGCTGGAATTATTAAATATGAAAAAGGAAACGGGAAGTTGTCGAGTAGGTATGTCGACGAAGCTGACTGTTTAACGCAAATTATGGTTAAATCAAGGTTGCTTATAACTTCCAGCTCAAAAGACAAACACATAGTTTATAGTTTAAAAAAAAGATCAACTGAACACGTCAATGCCGATTAAAAAATCGGTTCCCAAAGCATGCGTGAGTCGTTTAGGGGGGATGACATTGTCATACAGTAGACAGATAAGTTAGCTTAGCTTGCCTCGCAAGCCATACGGTTTACACAAAAGTTCAGTAGGAATTAAAACTATTTAAGGACCTAGACAGTAGTTTCCTATCCGTTTCATATTTACATTATGCAGCAGTCAAATAATGAGGACAGTGAGGCCACCGTGGACGTGCATTTTACCAACCTGACTGATTCACTGGTGGCCTGGAAAGTTCCTGTGGATGTTTTTGCCATTGAAAGCCCTTTAAGAGTGAGTAATATTGAATTCATACTCCTGTATCCCTCTCATGTAGACCTGGCATGCATATATAACCGAAATAAATAGACCAAAGATGCATTTATGGACTGAGTATGTCATATCGAAATATCAGTGGCATTTTCAAGAAGAAAGATAGCACCAGCAAAATTTTCAAACAAAACATTTTACACAAAAGATTTGAGATTACAAAGCAATAGATAAACTATATTTGGACACCTTGTCAAACATAGCAGACATGTCCATTTTTATTGTGACAAAAAAAACGAATTTTCTGTAGTTCAAGGCATCAGATGTTTTCTTGATTTGACATTTGTATTATCAAATGCAAAAGTTAATGGTCCATATTGACATGATAGCATCATGCAGTTGTAGAGTTGTTGGCTGCACATGTATGCTGTGAATGTGTCATGCTCTGGTGAGCGGTGATTGTGAACTAATCTTCACCGTGAGCTTATTTAATGAGCCATAAGCAGATATAATCTTTCGCCTAATGATATGATGCAAGCATAATTTGATTAAGCAGTCGAGATATGGTTGTATAAGTTGTTGTGAGTGTAACTGGTAAGATTTTAATTTTCTGTTCAATGCCTGTAACTTGGAAAAGACTGGCTTTTGTGCTGGTATAAAGTGTTACAACGGCTAGTTAACCTTTTGACTAATGGAGTTTTTGGAATATTTATGGAGATTTGGACATCAGTGGTGTGACTTTAATTTCCTTGACAGCTGCTTTTTTCCTCATTGTAAAAAGGAAAATAGGAACTTGGGGAAATAACATTCTCATTGTAAAAGTTTTTGAGTCAATCCAGAATTTGTGTGTGGTTTGGTTCCATATGATTTATCAAAATGAAACATTTCAACCATTTATCTTCGTGCACTCTGTGTTCTAAAGGTGTCTTATAAACTTCCAACCCAATTTGTTTAATGGCAGCTTATGATGTTTTGAAGTAGTAGCCAGTGCTTTCAAGAAATAGAGATTTATTATATTCCTCTGCGTCCCTTGAGTTTAGGTCTGAAATATTGGAGTAATTTACAAGTCAAGTAGCTGAGTGAATAAACAAAAACAATAAATAACAACCCATAATGGACTCATTTGTTTGCTTTTTTCCCCTACAAGATTATTATGACATTGGAGTGGTGAATAGGTGTGTTTGTTATGGCTGAAGAAATTTTCCACTTGACGTCACTTTTGTTGAGCTGTTACACAAATCCTAGTCATCAGACAGCCTTAAGTCAAGTTGTAGACATTGTTATTATAATGTACTAGAGAAATGACCTGTTTCAACTACCCTTTTTTATACAGTCCAGCTTAGAGATTGATTTACCAGTGACGCACTACACAGGTTTTGTCAGTTTGTCATGCCTGTTGATAAATGAGCATTTGTTAATTAGACTTCGGGGCGTAATACACAATAATGCAAGCATTGATATTCAAAGACTAGAAGTTGTCTATAGCACAAGTAGGTTATATTTGAGTCCAGGCAACAGGTTTCTGGTGTGTGCAATTTTCCAAATAGGGTGGAAACCTTGAGTTGAATGGAAATGGGATGAGAGCATAATAGAGATAGAAAATAGTCTGCTGTTGTGAATGGATAAAATGGAAAATCTGTTCCATTGTGTTTTCCAATGCGGAAA